TGTGCCTGTACCCTTACAAACACTCCTTGACACAGCCAACCACAGAAGCACATTCAATCACAAAGACACAGATCAGTCACATGTGCCTTATACCTTGATTCACACATACACACTGAGACCACACACTAGCAGACACACCTACACAGTCATCAATACAGGCATACAGTGGTCCACCTCATACTGGAGCACTCATGGGGTTCTGTCTTTCATCCTATCCCCCTCTCTGATCTGTGCCTTCCTATATCTCCTCAGATATCTATGGAAACCCTTCTCCTTGTGCCAAAGGGAGTGTATGGCAGGAGAGCGCTCTGCCTCATTGGGTAGATCAAGAGCTAAGGCCCAAAGATATGTGTGTGAGGCTGACCTTGTCCTGTCCTCTAACTGTGATCCCTGCTGCTGTCACTGAAGCCTGTCCCTAGGAACATTCAGCTCTAACCCTACCCTCACAACATGCACAGTTGGCTGGAAACCTCTCCGAACGCAGTAAGACAGTTTGAGCAGAATGATTGTATTTGTTATTTACCACCCATGGCCCCTTGTAGCAGCAGGTCCAAAGCAAGCCAAGCTTCTGGGCATTTCTAGAGGATCAGAAAGCCCCTGGGTTGACAGAGGTGTCTGAGAACTAAGGAAGAGAAAGGAGAAGGAAGGGTGTGAGAAAATAAGCATTTCTGGAAGCTCCACTGCCCCTTAGATTCACTGTCTCCCCAAGCCTTCTGCTTCTGATCATCTACCCTCCATTAAGGCTCTTTGCATTTGGTGAGAGCTGCCTTCAAGATCTCACTATTCCTTTGGCGTGATATTTCACAATTTGTCCCTTAAGAGTGCTTAAACAGAATAGGTGGAAACTTCATTGGCTTTGATTTTCAAACCTCCACCCTCCATCCCCCCACTCCCCCACTAACCTCGAGGTGAGAGGATCCACACACTTGTGGTGGCAGTGTGGGTGTTGCTGATGTTTGTGGCTATGGTGGTAAGATTGGTGGCAGATGGGCCTTGGGGTTTCTGCCGGTATGTTCTGCGGCTACGCTTGAACATCTTGGGAAACCGGGGCCGGGGCCAGCCCATACCTGGTCTGCGGTATGGGGAGTTCATGCCCCGGGGCCGAGGGGCACGGACAAGCCGAGAGGGCCCCATGAGCACAGGGAGCTGCTGTACTGTGCCTAAGGTGTGCTGCTGGACAGGGCAGCTGAGGCCTCTATGACATATGGTGTCTGCCTAAGGGTAGTACTCTTTATTACAGATCTCCACCCACCATGGGTCAGGCTCCCTCACAGTCTTCTCCTTTGTGTCCAGCCCAAGAGCCCCTTGGGGAAAGAAACTCTATATAGGGGGGAAAATCACTCAATTTTGTTCACTCATCTGCTTTAACAATATTAACAGTGTTTATTGAGTACTTTCTGTATGCTGAGCACTGTGCCTAGTATTTTACAAGCATGATCTCATCTAATCTCACCACAATCCAACAAGGAAATTCTATTATTATCCCTATTTATATAAGTCAATTCTCATTATTCCTAATAGTCATGTTCTACAAAGTGGCCACAAACATTAATTAATGTACACTTACTCTTAGGGGAAATACACAAGTTCTGGTGACTCTCTACTTACAATATTTTTACTCACTGATAGTATATAACCTGGCTTTATGTGTGGAGACACCTTGCGTTGAGGCCTTGACATTGAACCATGGCCAACAGCACTATAACTTGTGCCTGAATCAAGTTTATACAATACATGCATTTCCTTTGAGGCACATCACAGTCTTGTGCTTAGGAACACTATGTAGTACTTTAGCACTACAACTAGGAGCCATGTAAGCCAGCAAAATCACACACACACACACACACACACACACACACACACACCCACAAAAATGTGAAAAAGCATGGCAGTAAAGACTGCCAAAAAAACATTTGTTTATGAGAGCTGAAACAAAAAGACAGAGAGTGTCCCCCTTGTCAACAGATCTTAGCTGGAAATGTGTGGTGGGCAACTTACAATTTTTACCTCTATGCATGAATTTTTACCTCTCCCCATAAATGACTGAAAAAGTGCCATAAGTCTCATGCAGTAGAGTGCCTGCTTTGCAGGAACAACGCCCTGAGTTCAAATCCCATTACACACACACACACACACAAAAAAAAAAACTGAAAAGCTGCCACAAGTATTGGGTATTGGTTTGGGGATGAGTAAGTGAATTTACAGATACAGAATCCATGAATAAGGATCGACTATATAAAGAAACTGAGATTCAGTGAGGTAAAGGCAAGTGGGGGTGCAACTCCATAATGACCAAGGTCTGAAGCCCAGAGAGTTTATCTTTTGCTCTTCTGTGTTCGTTCATTCATTCATTCATTCAGGATGTTCACTAGCAGCTTTGAATGTGCTGGGCACCAAGGACATACATGAATGTGACCTGGTCCTATTTCTTCCTGAGAAGAGAAAGGCATGCAGATAACCAGGGTGAGGTGCCAACCCTGGGTTCATCCCCTTTCTTACTGGAGACAGGAGAGTAAATGACTTTGGTGTGCATTGCACTGAATCAAGGGACTTTAGACTTGCTCTTTCTGCCTCCACACCTTAGCCTTTTCTCTCTTTTCCTCCTACCCCTTTCATAGCCTCCACCTTTTGTCCTGTAGGAACCCACTAAGAGACTGCGGGGCCCTTAGCACTACCCAGGCAGGCCTCACCATGCCTCCCCAGCTTCTCGGTCTTAGACTTTGACCTTGCTTCCATCTAACTTTAGCCACTACATCTACAAGCTTCCTTGTTCCTGCTCCTCCTCTTCCTCAGGTCTAGGACCAAAGCCTCTTCCCTTGCTCTTTATGAAAGTCAGCCCCTCCTGCCTCCTTGGAGACTCTGTCAATGTAGACAGTAGACTTGGTGGTTAAGACAATAGACTGACAGGTTGAATCCTAGCTCTACCACTTACAAGGCATATGATTGTGGCAAGCACTTAACCTTTATGTACCTCCATTTTCCCATATTTAAAATGGGGTTAAAAAGAAAGTCTATTTAAAAAGATTGTTGTGGAGAATAAAAAACAATATAGTCAATGCATTTAAACCATGCTCTGTATTATTAATATAGTCTGATATATAAAAATAAATTAGATATAAATATATATGTAGATATACATATACATATATATATATATATATATATATATATATATATATATATAGTCTGAATTTGTGGGCTCAAGTGATCCTCCTGCCTCAGCCTCTAGAGTAGTTGGGACTACAGCCATGCACACTGTACCTAGCTTATAGTTTGTAATATTATTATCCCCTCTCTCTTGTCTCTTCAGCTGGCTCCTCTCACATAAAAATAACAAATTTAAAAACCAAATTCCTCAGGGTAGGGGATATAGCTCAGTGGTAGAGCACTTGCCTAGCATGTGAGAGGCCCAGGGCTCAATTCTCAGCACCACACACACACAACATCCCCCATCCTCTTGCATCCCATGGCCCCTCACAGTGGCTCTCTTCCTTCTGACTTTGCTATGTGCTCATTCCTTTTTGTCCCAGAGCAGGGAGAAAAATCTCATTTAAAAACCACATAATGATTCTGTTGTACAGACCCGGAAACACAGGCTTAAAAACAAGTCTAGGAAATGCCCTCAGGGACACGCAACTAAGGAATGACAGAACCAGAAGTCCAGCACCTGTTCTGAATGACTGGAATGCCAGGACTTTCCCAGCACCTCTCTGTCAGGAGTGGTGGAGTGAGAAGTGGGAGAGGCAGCCCCCCAGAAGGACTGATGACGATGGGGATTATAGAATCTTGAGAGGGGTGACTCTTTTGTGGGGCCATCATGCCACCTGCTGGCAGAAAGGGAAGCCATGTGCACAGAGTGCTAGAAGACAGGAGAGGAAAAGAAGAAAAAAGTGTGCAGCGGGAAGAGAGAGAAGGAAATATGAAGGAAAAATAAAGAAGGGGATTTTGAAGTTTTGTGGAGTAGGAACCATTTGCTATTCAGAGGAGAGAGCAGATGCTGCCAAGCCGTGCCATGGTCATTTCCTTGAACGGGTGTGCTGTATGAGCCCACATGCACATTCAGGAGCACCAGTAGGTGGTTCTATAGGAGACTGTGTGATTGATATGTGGGCATATGGATGGCAGCCTGGGTAGATGTGTGTGTACATCAGTTGTGCAGGAATGTACAACAGATACAGGGTACGAAGCATATGTGCACTATCATGTGGAAGGTACAGAGAAGTTCTGGAGGACCATTTTGCCCCACCCCTGAGTTTCATCCCCTTCATGAGATCAAGAGAGGTGTGGCCCATGGGTGGCCTCTTTAGGCGGAGGCCTGCTGTTGTTGTGGTGGTGAGGACCTATCTCCAGGCAGTAGGGGGCAGTAGGGGCAAGGGGAGGTTGATTGGTCATGGGTGGGGCCAGTGGGCAGGCAGGCAGAAGAAGGCTTTAAAGCGCCTGCCCCACCTGTAGGTGAGCAGTGGTGTGTGAGAGCCAGCCCGTCCTGCCAGTGACTGGCAGCTTCCTAGAGCTGTTTTGTCCCTTCTGGAACCTCAGCAGATTCCTCTCAGAATTCGCTGCCAAGAGCCCTGAACAGGTGATGACATAGGATAGAGATTATCCTATGAAGCATTATCAATCTAGAAACAGGTTTGGGGAGCTGAAAGGGTCTGGAGTTGGTCTGGGGAGGGGGCCCAGGACAAAAAGTTGTCAGGAAAGGGCATGGAGTGATCTGCAGTGTGGGAGTCAGGCTTGAGGTGCCTGTATAGGAACCTCAAGTGTTAGGATCTCAGACTGTCGGCTACCTATAGAAGGCCTGAGTAGTGTATACACAGGTATAGGTATCAGGATGGAAACAGGAAAAGTCCTGAGGTGTTAAAATCCAGGTGCAGGGGAGGCTTGGTGAGATATGGGTTCAGGATGCTGGAATCTTATGTGTCAGGATCCAGAAGAGAGGGCTAGCCTAGGTAGGGTGGGGTGCACAAGACCCTAACTCACACTTGTCCCTTCCAGGAGCCACCATGCAGTGTTTCCGCTTCCTTAAGACCATGATGACCCTCTTCAACATGCTCATCTTTGTAAGTACAGAGCTATGTGCCTTTGGGGGTCCCTACAGGAGCAGATCACAATCTCAACAGAGCCCAATCTGTACCCAGACTCTGCCCTGCAAATTTCCTGTTAGGAGTAGGATGCAGAAATCTTCCCAAATGCTGATTCCTGGTCCCAGTAGTAGCCAGGCTGCTACTACACACAGGGATGTGTGTAAAGAAGGGGTGGAGAAGCTTTAGGGCATCCCCTTCCAGGAAACTTCAGTCCAGACTTAGGGCAGGGCAGTACTAGGCTAGGAGGAGGGATTCTCCTCTTTTTATAGGCAGTTGAGATTCATAGAGGGGAAGGGGTTTGCGTAAATTTACCTAGCACAGAAGACAATTCAGTGGCCTCTGTGTGAGGGGGAGTTGAAAGGTGAAAGAACCCATGTCTCCTTAGAACAAAGGTTTTGTGTCAAGTGGCCCTTTTTTATTCGACAAACATTCCCATTGATTAAGACTCTATGCTAGGTGCTAGGGTAGCAGGTGAGCAAGGTCATTCTCTGCCCTCCAGGATCTCAGGTCCAGTAAGCCAGATAGGCAGATAATTGCAAAATGATATGTCTGGATTTAGTACAGGGGCTAAGGGAGCCCAGTGGAGAGGTTGAAGTCAGCCTAATAGAAGAATACTTCCTGGAGGAAGTAGCTGAAGCTGGGAATTTGCATTGGGTTGGGGAACTATAAAGCATGTATAAAGGCCCAGAGGTAATGAAACTTGATATTGTTTAGAAAACCAGGAACAGATTGCATAGAGTATGTTTGAGAAGCTGAGTAAATGAGGCGTAAACCTGGAGATGTAGTGGAGATAAGGAGAAATGAACAAAGGAAACAAAGGACAAAACCCTAGGATGGTGACTGAGGGATAGAAAAAGCAACAAGAGACAGAGGTCTTAGAAATGATGACCATATCTCTGGCATGAGCAATGCAGGGGGTGGGAAGGGGATGTCTTACAGGCAGCTGAGTACCCAGTAGAGGTGCAGCTCATATTAGAGCTGGTGGTGGATATTTGAAAGCCATGTTCCCTTAGATGGCCGATGAAGCCACAGGGATGTGATAGCACTCAGGGAAAGTGAACTCTGGGAAACTTAGATTATTAGGGATACACACAGAAAAACAGTTACCATGAAGGAGAAAGAAGGAAAACAAAGAGAGCCAGTTATCAGAGAGGTCAAGGAGATAAGGCCCATGAAGTGATCACTGGATCACTACAGCGGGTTAGAGTGAGTAAAAGGGGAGGAAGTGGAGACTTGAGGTGTAGACTGGTTTGGAGAAAATGGGTTAGACTCTGAGACTCCAATGTCGTCTGTACTTTGGGCCTCTTTGGTTGCCAGGAACTAGCTTTCATTCATATACCTGTGGAAAGCAATAGAATTCCAGGAATTTGGATAGCAGGGCCTCTGGCCTGAGGGCGTTAAAGGCAAATCCGGTTTGGTTTCTGGCCTCTGTTGCCCAGGCTTTGCCAGGCTGGGCAAAGTCAAGTAGGAAGGCTGCAGGCTCCTTGAAATTTGACCCTGCAGGCTAGAAGCCCAGCTCTGTCTTTAGGCAAATATGCCTGAGATCCAGCCACAATCTATCTTCCCCCTTACTTCTGACCCTAGTCAGCTGAAAAGTGGAAACTGGACACCAAGTTGGTGTCAGGCTGATTCATCCACCAAAGCCCTGGGTATTCAAGGCTTTACTAGGAGCTGTTGGAATTGGGTAGGACTAGCCCTAGTCAGAGCCTCAGGATCCTCTCTGAGGATTAGAGTCGAGCCAGCATCTTTAAAAGAAGTTGTGACTCTTCCTCTCTAGTGCCTTAGTTTTCACTTGTGAGGCAAAGAGGTCTAGGTGGATAAAGAGCAGGCCTGGCAGCTGATCCCAGAGGGGAGCCAAAATGAACCTCAAGGTGATTAACCTTTTCTACCTCCGCCCTCTTCAAGGTTGGGAGCAGGTGTAAGCCTCAGCCCCGCCTCTGTTACCAAGGTGACTGTTGAGCCTGCTAACACTACCACCCCCCTCTTTCCACCTATCAGAGGACAGAGGTGTTCTAAGCACCCATATTCCAGAAAGCAAATGAGCTATGTGACAGGACCCTGGCAACAGTAAGGAAAAGTCTTGTCCCTCTCCCCACCATGTGGATATTTCTGGAACTCTTGATCTCATTTTTATCTGCTCAGGTGTGCAGCCTGGTGCTAGTTATGAGCGTTCCAGTTCCCATCTTTCTGGCTCTAGATGCTATTTCCTTCCCTGTATGATAGGTTATCATATTCCCTAGCCAATAAAGGGGAAAGTTTCTCAACTCCCATCCTCTTGACTCAACTGTGTGATAGGGAACTACTTTCCAGGACTTTTTCAAAGCCTATCTGACTTTTCTGTCCCCAGCTGTGTGGTGCAGCCCTGTTGGCTGTGGGCATCTGGGTGTCGATCGATGGGTCATCTTTCCTGAAGATCTTTGGGCCGCTGTCATCCAGTGCCATGCAGTTTGTCAACGTGGGCTACTTCCTCATCGCGGCTGGTGCTGTGCTCTTTGTTCTTGGTTTCCTGGGCTGCTACGGTGCTCATTCTGAGAATAAGTGTGCACTCATGATGGTGTGTCAGACCCTGCTCCACAGGCCCATTACCAAGGGTCCCCTCACTCTGACAGAAGTCCCTGGGGATCCCCAAACCCTATTTTTGGCTCCAGGGGTCTCACCATAGGGGATCCCTGCCTCATTTCTATGGGGGGGGGCCATGGATTAGGGCAAGGAGAGCATAAGGGAGTGTCTCCCTAAAACATATTCCCTGCTCCCCACTCAGTTCTTCCTCATACTTCTCCTCATCTTCATTGCTGAGATTGCAGCTGCTGTGGTTGCTTTGGTGTATACCACAATGGTGAGGCACTGGGATGGGGCAAGGGAGGAAGACTGGGCAAAGTCCGGGGAAGGATGGGCTATGGCCTATAAATGGCCACCTTCCCTACCAGCTCCTAAACACTGGCCGGTCCCACCCAGGCTGAGCAATTCCTGGCCTTGCTGATAGTGCCCGCCATCAAGAAAGACTATGGATACCAAAATGACTTCACTCAAGTGTGGAACTCCACCATGGAAGGGGTAAGATGGGTTGTGGGGATTTTAGGGTAGAGAGAAAAAAAGAAAGGCCCCACCACCCACTCACCCCACCTTGTCTCTAGCTCAAGTGCTGTGGCTTCAACAACTACACGGATTTTGAGGGTTCGCGCTACTTTGAAAAGAATCAAGTTGTTCCTCCATTCTGTTGTATCAACCCTGCCAACCACACAGCCGAGGAACCTTGCACCATACAGAAGGCCCAAGACATGGATGTACAGGTATGGACTGACATGGAAGGGTGGGAATTGCTTTAATGGCCTCTGGTTGCAAATGGGGATGGGAAGTATGTTCCAATGACAAATGCTCTCTCCCCTCCTCCAAGGGTTGCTTCAAACAGCTTCTGCATGACATCCGAACCAATGCAATCACTGTGGGTGGTGTAGCAGCTGGAATTGGGGGCCTGGAGGTAAGCCAATGAATAGGTTGGGGTTGGAGTATCAATCTCCACCAGAACTGGGCTGCTTGATCCATCTCTGAGGCCTCTCTGGAAGAAACAGACTGTTTTCTTTTTTGGTGCTGGGGATTGAACTCAGGACCTTGTACATGCTAAGCACTGATCTACCACTGAACTACACTCAGCTTCATGTAGGCTGTCTGGAGGTGTAGGGAACCAATTTTTGGTCATCCCAATCATGTCCCTTCATCTTTCCCTGTTCCTCACCCAACAGTTGGCTGCCATGATTGTATCCATGTATCTCTACTGCAATCTGAAATAAGCCTGCTCTGCCTCCGTCATTGCTGCTGCCACATGGAAACTGCAAAGAGGCACCCTGGTACTGCCAAATAGCAGTGATCAGGGTGGGGATGAAATCTAAGTGTCACTTGGGCTGAAGTAGACCTACCTGTGCTACTCTGGACTTGGGGCTAAACCCCTTTAGGTTGTGTGTCCTTCTATTGGGGGGTTGGGAACCACCTGTTCCAGAGCTTCTTAGGCAGTCAGTTTTTCTGCCCACTCCCCGTCTGTTCCTTCAACCCTTGACTCTCCCTGAGGCTAAGGGGTGCCCTTAATCCCAGCTCTACTGGGGGATGAGAGAAAGGTACTTTATAGCTCAACAGAGCCACAGGATAGATGTTAGAAGGCATTTCAGAATTTATAAATCAATTAAAATGTTTCTATTTGGATTCTTTGTATATACTTGGGGAGTGGGGTCAAGCTTGATTCCCATAGGGCTGATGACTCAGAGGAAGGAAAGGAAGTAGAGTAAGGGTTTGGGTTCCAGGTATGGGAGGGAGCCTAAGGTATGGGAGGGAACCTAAGAGACATGACCAAGAAAGCACTAAGGAAGTGGGAGCTGGGCCAGTCTACCATCATTTAACATGGAAGGACTTTGGCCTGAAACTTCTCCTCCTGGATGGGGTTAGTGGACTGGAAGCTATGAAAATAACAAGCTTTTGCCCAAGTTGGGAGGACCAGAATTATTATCAAGGCAATGAGAAAGTCACTCAGGCTTTGGGAAGCCCTCCCAAACCTAAGTGTTCAGGTTGTCTACCCTCCAACTTAGGCAAAGCCCCACATGTACTGCTGCTTTGAGGATCTCAGAAAGAATTTCATTTATTCTTTGGTGCTGGCCTATCCAGTACTCTAAAGACTAAATATTTATTTAGTTTTAACCAACCCTTCTCTCCAGATAAAGAAACTGGGGCTTAGAAAGATAAAGTAACTTCACTTCGGTGAAGAGCTGAGCCTGGATTTGGAGCAAGACTGACTCCTGAACCTGGTTAAGTCCTGGTTGATTTACTACTTAAAGGAAGATCTGACTAGAATGTCCCTGATAAAGACTTCAATGTTGCTGAACCATTAAGGAGGAAAGCTTATTGTCACAGGAGGACATAGTGTCTACCACTTAGCAAAGCCTAGTCTCACTAGTCTTCCTTCTTGTTTCCCTTTGATCCCTGTGTCTGTCTTCCTGGGCTTTACCACAGCAGCCCAGAACTACCACCCCCTTGCTGAGCCCAAAAAGGAACAGGAACCTAGCTAGAGCCACATAGCCTGAGCATTATTAGTCTGTGAGGCCCAACCAAAAACCCTGCTAGGGTGCTGGGAAGGGAGAGGAATTAGACCATCTCAGCCCTTGTGTAGAGAGTCTGGTGCCTCTCACATACTTCCCCTCCCACAAGGAGCCTGTGTAGAAGCAAGAGGGTGGGGAGATTGTTTGCACAGGGCGGGCCTCCACCTCACCATGGACTAATTGCTTCTCAACCTGGCTGTTTTGCCACCTCAAACACTATCTCCAACTCCGGCAAACACTGAAGAAATCAGGGTGGCAAGAAATGTCCAAGCCATATACCACTGGTGTTCCAAGTAAGCTGGGTTCCAGGTACTGGTAAGGGAGGCAGGTACAGAGAACAGGTGGGAGGTCCAGTAAGTTCCTGCCTCCCTGACCAAGGTTCTATACCAACAGACCTTTTCTCAAGAGTGCCCTATACTGTCCTGCACAGAGCTTTTAAAATATTATGCCTCCTGCCTTGAGCTATCTCACCCATTCCCTCTGGACAATTCCATTCATTTTTAGGTGACTATCTAGCTCAGCTCTTCTTGTGTTCTTTGAGAATGTGATGAAAACCATGGCCCTTTTCTCCAGAAAAATACCCAAATATGGAATTATTCTGTATACAACATACCCTAAGGCCCAGACACTCTTGCTCCTACACTTTTGTCTGTAGCCCAGCCTGAGCCCCCTGCAAGGCTTACCTACCCTTCTATGACATAATCCCCTAGGTCTTTGTGGCTGCCACACTGTTCCTATCTCAGCCACTTCCTTCCCACCTCCACTATGTTCACCTGCATTGTCATTCTTTCCTCTACCCACAGGTATCCCTTTTTGTTTTCTCCTGATCTCTCTCTGGGGACAGGTACCTGGCCCAGACAAGAAAGGCAGAGCCAGCTTGGTGGGAAAGGGATCTGGGATGGCTGCATAGAGTTCAGTCCCAAGTAGTAGGATGGAGCTAAAGTCAGTCTGTCCCAGAGTGGAGTCTGAGGAAAAACCTTAGAGCTTGAGACTTGTGCATCCCCTGGTGGTCAAAGGGCCCCAAAAGCAAGATAAACACTGTGGAAGACAGTAAAGAAAATTCACCATCCACCTAGATGATCTATTCCTTACTTCTCTTCCCACCACACACACAAAATCACAGCCACAAGACACATCCCCAAGGTTTTCTCCTTTTTTAATCAATGACCACCTTATCCAGCTTTGGAAATCTGGACAAAGAGGAGGCTGAGAGGAGGCCTAGTCCAGTGTCTAAGGGTCTCTGAGTGAGTATGTGTCAGCACATGAGCCCCAGTTGAGCCTGTCCATCAGTTGGGCACAGCAGTTTCCTGAGTAAGAGCCAACCCCACCCTCAGAGCAGAATCCCATCCCAGAAAAGAATCAAGGCCCTCCAGGATGGGCCTATTCCCAAACCTTCAGGGCAGTCAATAAATAGGTTAGATTCTGAGCCAGGCCTGGGAGGAGGGTGTATACCAAGGGCAGAATCAGCTGTCCAGGGATCCCAAAGATTCCTGGGTACTCTCCTACTTTTCTCTAACAAGGAAGTAAATAAATAGACCTTAAACTCAGGAGCTGGAGTAGGGGAACCCTCCCTTGGAGTTAGTAATTAAGTTTCATGTTAAAAACAAACAAGCCCTAGCCCCTACCAGCATCTACAAAATCCTACAGGATGGGGTGAAGGGCTAGCCTGCCTGGGGGTACACAGTACCCAGCCCTGCAGGGTCCTGGAGGAGGTCTCATGTCTGTTCAGCAGCTCCTGGGGCTCCCTCCTCCTTTGGGGGTGGCTCCAGGAAAATTGGGGTGACTGATGGTGGCTTCTTCATTCTGGAAGATAATGGAATACACATAGGGAATAGGTCATAGTAATAAGCTTCAATCCCACTAGGCCACTTCCCAGGGCAGAAAAGGGTCACTCACGAGTAGGGGGAGGCTGGGACCCCCACCACAAGAAAGTGGTTCTTTTTCCGAAACAATCTCCACAGGCCCTGGTGGTTGCCGCGTATGTCCAGGTCCCAGATATGGAGGCACTGGCGGGGTGGGGCAGGGAGAGATGGGTCAAGGAGTGGTGGGGAGGGGCCAGCTAGGACTCGGCAGCTACCACAGTGTGCATGGTAGCATCCTCTGGAATATGGATTTGGACAAAGGGATTGAAAGAAGAGTTCTGGGAGCATGATAAGATGGTTCTAAAGTTGAAGATTAGAGGGTAAAGGCTTCCTGCATATTGAAGCAGTACATGTGTGCATGGGGAGGATAGTTAATACTTCTGGAGTGGTATTGGGGCACCTTGGCAAGCTGGGTCCAGGTAGTGAAGTCATCATCTTTCTCCATTCGGATAAAGGTCACGTAGGTGTGGCCCTCTGTGTCTGGCAGGAAGGAGTCATCACAAGGGTTCTTACTGTGGTCCAAAACCTCAGCCTCACTGCAGTGGGGAATGGAGGAGTAAGACCAAAACAGGGCATGTTTTGTGGCTTAAGGCTCTGCTGTGCCATCCTGAATTCTTCATGTTTGAGCTAGTGACCTGATTTTCATTTTGTATAGGACCCCATAAATTATGGAGTCAAGAATGTCAGTAATTTGTATCCTCGCTCCCTGCCACACATCCCAATTGCTCTAGGTCATACCTGAGTAGCCTGTGAATTTCCACTTCATAAGCTTCTTTTTTCAGACTGAAGGAAAGGGAGAAATGAATCAAGGGAGGGGGAAAGACCTTCAAATTCCATGAGAAACATAAGCCGTGCAAGGGGTCAGCAATGGGAAAAGAGCACAACAGGACTGAGGTAAAACACAATAGCCCCCTGGGTTGGAAGGGACCATCAAAGACTGGTTGTCAAGTCTCCTAGATACCCTCCCCCTCGCCCTGCAGCCAGCTCCCACCTGTCCACATTCCGGAGCTGGACACCTGGAACCGTGTTGAACTTGTGCTTTTTGAAGTAGGCCTCCTGTATTGGTGTGAAAATGAAAATCAGGGCCTCACATCATTTGCCCCATACCAGTTCATTGATCCACCATTTATCTACAAGATGCACAGATGAAGTGCTAAGCCTGGAAAGAGCCCTTTGATTTCTTCCTATCTCCTCATCCTCTTCACAGCATCCTTGGCAAACTCTTTTTTTTTTTTTTTTTTGCAGTGCTGGGGCTTGAACTCATTGCCCGGGCTGACTTCGAACCACAATCCTCCTCATCTCTGCCTCCTGAATAGCTAGGATTACAGGTGTGAGCCAACAGCACCCAGCTTGGCAAACTCTTTCTAGCTTTAATTTGGGCTCCATCATTGCTGGAGTGCTAATGCCAACATGGTAGCTCAGGCTATTGACCTGTGAGCCAGACCCTGTCTCCATTGGTTCTCCTTGGGCCTGCTGTTCTAGAGCCTTAGAAGTCAGGGACAAGGACTGCAGGCATGGCTCAGGTGGCAGAGTGCTGTCTAGCAAGTATGAGGCCCTGAGTTCAAACCCCAATACCACCAAAAAAGCAAAACAAAACAAACAAAACAAACATGAACAAACCCTGCAGGGGAGGGTGAGCAAAGAGGACAGATGGATTAGAGAGAAGGAAACTGTTGTGACTCAGGTGCTGAGAGTGACTTGAGGAAAGTGCCTGTCCCTCTCTGGAAGGTGAGTGAGGCTCTTGTATTAGCTGCCTCTTGGAGCCTTCCTGGCTTCTAGCAAGTTCCAAATTGAATCCATTCCTTTGTGCTGGCTGTCTCAGGATGTTCCAGCTGTAACTAGGTT